TTCACTCTATTACAAACACATTTCAAGTACAAGCGCAGACGAATCTATGTGTTGTGGGTCTAAGTACCATATTCACTCTATTACAAACACATTTCAAGTACAAGCACACATAAACCATATATTCATTTATAGTGTGTCCAATTATTAAAATATCATTTATTTTGACCATAGACACACTTCAGTCATTTACGTAAGTGCATAATCTACTAATAGAGAAGATACAGTAGTTTAAATTTAGACTATTTTTCAATTCAATTGTGATAAAAATGGTCAATGTGCTTGTGTTTACCTATAACTGGGTCACAATCACGTGGATTCCACTTAGTGACAGCAGTTCTTAAATACGGCATCCATACTTCCCATACCAATCTATTGTACACTGACATAGAATGCATGCCTTCCTGTGACACTATATTATCATTATTATCAACTAAATCTTTCCAGAGTTTAAAAACATCCATTCCATAACTGTTGTTTTGCAATGGATCCCAACTAGATAGGTATTCCTTGACCTGCAAGATGATAAAAAGCAATTAATTTAAACATTTTCATTTGTAGTCATAAGCTGTTGTTATGGTGAGTTGCACCTGATCTGACATGTACTGTAGAATACTTTATTTTCGCTTGGAATTAATTTTCTCTATTTTCGCTGAGGGAATGATTGAGTAAAAATAAAATCCAGCGAATTTCCCTTTTTTCCTGTATTTTACATTCAACTCGTCAAAAATCAGTGAAAATAAATTCCATTCAAAGCGCAGTAAAAGTATTTTCAGCGAAATTAAAGTATTTTACAGTATATCCATATATCTTTATCTTATTGATTTAGGCAGAGGGTTTGCAACCCGCCTATTCACATAGTTCATACCCACCATAGACTCCGGTCAGTCAAAATGACTATTTTGAACTGTAGGCAGAGTCAGACGCTGATAGGTGGCGGGTTTCAGAGCGAACTGAAAACGAAAAAGGGTGTCCCAGTCCGAGATAATGCCCTCTACTTACGACTACCACTTAGTTGAGACCAGTAAAGAAACGGTGTCTTACCTTGTCAGTGCCGCCCCCGAAACAAAAGCAAGCTGCTGAAACGGTGACAGGGGTTCGGTATGCCCGAGAACGCTAGACCCAAACCCAAATTCTTGGGTGACTAGCTTTCAAAAGAAGACCAAAACAGTTCTGCATGAGGGCATAGGTCGAAAGAGATACCTGGAAAGTTCCCAAGAGTGCTGACAGGAGAAATCTCCCTGTAACAAATGTGCTGCCGAGACTGTTCTATCGCCTATGTGCAGGGATCCCTGAGGTCGTCCGGGCTGGGTCAGTAACCAAAGCCTGACCCTAGTGGATGGGACCCCCCCTAAAAAAAAACCTAATGGATTGCTTATCCCTTAGGTAGTAGTGGTAAAGACATTTTGCGTTCTCCAGAAGCCTGCCCTCAGCATATGCTCGAGGGGGGGACCTGACGCAAGAGCCAATGAGTTAGCAATTGCACGGACCTCATGCGCTCATACTTGGTGCCTCTGTAGACCCTGTGTTTAGGAAGCCAAACGTTTAAGAACCTCAAACAGTGATCCACCTGGTAATTGAAGTCGGGAGGCTGGTCTGTTCTGCTTACCCTGGCCATAATACATAAACATGTGCTTGCTTCCATGCTTCGACTCTCTAGTATGGCTCTCGTAGCAACTCAGCGCTCAAACCGGGCAGAGAAGCAACTCCTCCTGATCCTTCGGGCCGACAATATTGCCAGCCGGGGGATGATGATCGGTTGTGGATCGTGTCCTGAGATTTGATTCTTGGAGAGGAACCAGATTCTTTAGCACGACTTGATTGTCCATAAAGGCGGCACACCCATCCGAGAAGAACAGGGCCCCTAGTTCAGACCGACGCCTACCTGAGGTGAGGGGTAGTAGGAAGACTGTTTTCCACGTCAAATATTTGAGTGGTGCTGATCGGAGAGGCTCAAAGGGAGGTCTCCTTAGATCGAACAACACAACCGAAAAGTCCTAATTAGGTGGTTCCCTCGTTCGGGTCTAGGCCTCTGATTATGGGAAGCAGTAAACAGTCTCCTAATAGTAGGACAACCAGCTAGCCTTGTCCCCAGAGAATTCTCAATGGTGGGTGACAAGGCTGACCAATAGCCAACGATCGCTGAATAGGACAAGCCCATTTTGTCAAACAGATGGACGAAAAGTCAACTACCTGGCCAACAGAGAGATGGCATGGATCAATCGCCATACCACTACACCAATCAGTGTACGCTCGCCATTTCGAGTCGTAGGCTGTGTTGGTGGGATCCCAGTTCGTCCTGGCCATGAAGTTGACAGCCCACTGGTGTTTTGACTAACATTTCCAACAGTAGTGGAAACCAGGCCTTGCTTGGCCCGTTGGAGCCGCTGCGAGAGGGCATCTGCTTGACTGTTCCTCACCCCTGGAAGGTGGTGTGCAGCTAGCTCCACATTGTATTCCAGGTACCAAAGGAGAATTTGCTCTGCTAGGACTGACAACGATAGGTTTTCTGCTCCCACCCACCCTCCTTGTTGCTATAGGAGACCACCGCTGTGTTGTCCGCCTGTTCAGTTCCCGTAGATGCTGCAACAAAGTGTGCTGTACCGGGCAGCTGCGTAATGCGGTTTGGGGAACTACCCTGCGAACCGAGGTCATCATTCCAATGATCCTCATTACTTCTTGGAGAGACACAGAGGGAACGCTGACTAGGTGCTCAGCTAGGTTGCTTAGTGCTAGGCAACGGGCCTGCAATGGCCGTACCAAGCACACCTCCGTGACAAACTCCATGCCCAGGAACACCACCTGTTGTATTGGCTGAGGATGGGACTTTCTTGATTCACTAGGAAGACCAACTGGTGTAGTAAATCCTGTGTTAGCCTTACTGTTAGGCTAACAACCCCTTGCTTGGGTTGTGTAGCAACCAGTTGTCTAGGTGCGGGTTGATGTGTACCGACGCCCGGCGCAGCAGTAGCACCACCTGTTTCCACCCTCTGGTGAACACATATGGCACCAATTCTAGTTGAATTGGAGTTTGTTGTTGTGAAACCAGAAGGGGAGCACCCTGTACTTGACTACTTGGTCCAAATGGACGAATCGAGGGAGTCGCTGACTCGCTGGGTGTATCGGTATGTGTGGGTAAGCATCGCTCAAGTCTAGCTAGGCTAACCAGTAGAAACAGAGCACAGAGTATTTCCAGGAAGCACATACTAATTTAGTCTGCTTAAGTCCAGAACTGGGCGCAGACACCTGTAGTCTTTGGAACCACCAACACTTGCAAGTAGAAGCCCAGACTTAACGCCGGGTCCTCTATCCTGTGTATAGCGCCATGTAAGCAAACTGTCTACCTCCTGACGGATTGCTTCCGCTTTGCGGGGATCCCCTGGTAGCGCCCCGAACGAGGGGCTGTTAACAGGGGGGGTGGAGATTGCAGCAGAATACACAGACTCAATCTGTGGACAGAGATATTTGGGTTCGGTGGTTCTACATCAGGGGTGACCTCTGCGAGGCTTATAGTCGATAGGTTCAGACTCTGCCTCCCGCCGAACATATGCCCATCCCCTTTCGCCTCAAGTGGAAGTGTTAAACTTGCTTCCCCTGCGAACTGGGTGGGCAACCACCCGAGGAAGAGGGGGACCACCACCTGGTCCCTTCTTCCTGGGGAGCACGTCACCACTCTTCCCTCCCCCAGAAGAGCTGGGACGCTTGCCTCCTGGCTACTTCTGGCCAGTGGGTCGTTACGTTTTCTTAGCTTGGGGTCCTTTCCGCTTGCCCTTGGCAGAAGCCAAACTGGTTCGCGGGTCTCACTTGTACCAACTAGTCAGTGGGATCCTGAAGCACCAAGACTGCTCCTTCCATCCTCAGAAGATAGAGGGTGGGGGAGGTCCAGCCTGGTGCGCCCAGTGAAAACAGCCAAAACCGCATCCCGCTGTACAGAGGCAGCCCCTGCCATGAGAGCCAGATGACACGTTAGGATATCCCGCGTAGGCATGTGGTGTCCCATCAATGGCTGTGTCTGCTGGTCTAAGAGGCTGGTGCGTTCCGCGTTTGAGACTTCAGAGTGCTGGCGGCACAAAACAATGCATTCCAGTGGGCATGCCACAACTCAAAAAATTTGAGGGTCGCCATTCTGCTCTCAGGGCGTGGATTGTTTCCAACTGAACTGCCAAAATATTCCATGAACGTGGCCATCCCCCTTTGCCCGTCCCACCGAACCAAAAAAAACGTGGTACTGGCAATTTTAAATCGGATTGTCAAACCAATATATTTGTATATCTACAATGTATAACATGATGTATAATGAATATACAAAATGTTAACATAATCATTCAAAGCCTGTCAAAACCGCATTCATTAATAAAACAAAATAACCACCAGTCAACCATTTTGAATCTGATCTGAAATGAAGTGCATCAGGGACCCATATAATTCATAAAAGACCGAGATCCGGTTCTCGAATGTCAGAAATTCTTGTTTTTAGCATAAAAATGGCTACCATTCGGCCATTTTGAATTAGATCGTCAAACCAATATATCTGTATATCTATGAATATATCAAATCTGAACATAATCAGCACTATGAGCATGTCAGAGATATGGCTCTAGAACCACATTTATTAAAACAAAAAGGCTAATGCTGGATTTCAATGTTTTTTCAGCACATTCACCATTCAGCCATCTTAAAGCAGATTGTGAAAAAAATTTATGTGCATATGTATAATATTATGTATGATGTATGTGTGAAGTTTGAATGTAATCAGTCCAGGCATGTCTAAGATACAGGTCCAGACACATACACAGAGGTCAATCCATCTCCAGGGACTAATAATTTGACAACAAAGAAATTTCTAGATCTTCAAAAAGGGTTCAAATTGGCAACATATGGCTGCCAAATCAGTTGACCAATCAAAATCTGAAAGTTAGGTGCATCAGCTCAAACCATGGTCAATAAGTACAGAAAGTTTGCCAATATGATTGACAGCGGTGTTTACAAATGGCTTGATGAAAAAAACAGCAATGAGCAACATGTTTTTAAGCAAAATAACAGCATAACAAACCATGTGACTGATCAAAATTAATTTATTTTCCTGTAAAAAGCTTTGGTCATAAATACTATATGCATAATTTTAAAAAGAACTCATCAAAGAAGTAGATTTTCACATGTTTTTTGCAGTTCTTCTCCCCTTTTTGGTGGGAAAAGTCATGTGACCACTAAAGTTTTTATTTATTCAATTGCTACTTCATGTTTATACATGTATTCATTTCAAGATTGGTGACAAGGTAGTAGAAAAGATTGTTCTACATTTGTCATTGCACGCCTTCATATCAAGGTTTCATAAATGTCTGATTAATCATTTCTGAGATTTTGAACAAGTAGCAGAAAAAGTAAAGACACAACAATAACACAAGGGCTCCAAGGTTTGCTTGTAAGCCTAATAAGTTCAAACTTGAATTCAGAATAGGTTTGATTCATCACTGGGTACTATATGTCAATTAATTCCCATCTATGATGAGGTAAACAAAGCAATAAGAATGTAAAAACTCACCAGTGGAAACACTGTTGCTATAACTAAATTTGGCAGTTCATATACTCTATACTCTTCATAAAAATTCTCTTGTAAAGTCTTGAAAAACTCATAGGCATCTTCCAACTCCCAGGGTTCCATGCTATCTTGCTGCTGTCTTTCTTCACATCTAAACCAATAGGAAAGCAACATTTTTTGGCCATGTTAGATTGTAAATTGGAGAGTGTGTTATTTAGCAGGCAATGCCTGGCATGCGCATACAGTCAAGTAGTCTATTGATTTACTAAAAATAGAACTAACGTAACCATAGAACGTCAAAACATGTGAAGCTAGGCAAGTTGGTAGTTCACGCATGAATTGAGTGGATTCAAGATGGTGCCTGCTGCTGAATGAAATGAAGCGAAACATTATTCAAAGTTGAATTATTTTCAGTCTGTTGCCAGAAAACAATTACCTTATCACTGAACAACATTCTAAAGATGCTTTGCATAAATGAGACAATGTTTCCTTTCGCAGAATTTGTGAAAAAATCAAACAAAATGATGCCCATTCAGGTACATAGATTTCCTCCATACTCTCGAATATATACATGTACACATGTTATTTATAGAGCTTGCTTCAAAAGCTGTCTTTGGTCCCTCTTGCTGTGCCAGCTATAATACAAACATTAATGTATCCTACCTTTCTATCATTACCATAATTTCCTTTAATTTGTTGATCTGCTTTGATTCTTCAACAAGAATCTCATTAAGTTTTACTTCTTCATGTCTGAGGTGAACAACTGTGTCTTCTTCATGATGTAACCTGCAAATAAATGATGACAGATCAGATTTAAGACATTGGTAATCACAGTAACATTACCACCACAAATCACAGATCAAAAAAACTTATTTATTGTTTTTTGTATAGTAATTCATGACATTTATTCATACCTGTATTTCCATCCTACTTTATTGAGAAATGTGAGGACAAGAGAATTGCACCCTCTAGTGGTGAGATTCACACTCTTGCGATGAGATTGCACCCTCTAGTGGTGAGATTGCACCTTCTAGTGGTGGAATTACACCCTCTAGTGGTGAGATTCACCCTCTAGTGGTGAGATTACACCCTCTAGTGGTGAGATTGCACCCTCTAGTGGTGAGATTGCACTCTCTTGTGGTGCAATTCACCCTCTAGTGGTGAGATTGCACTCTCTTGTGATGCAATTCACCCTCTAGTGGTGGAATTACACCCTTTAGTGGTGGAATTACACCCTCTAGTGGTGGGATTGCACCCTCCAGTGGATGGATTCCCCCTCTAGTGGTGGGATTGCACCCTCTAGTGGTGGGATTGCACCCTCTAGTGGTGGGATTGCACTCTCTTGTGGTGCAATTCACCCTTTAGTGGTGCGATTCACCCTCTAGTGGTGAGATTCATCCTCTAGTGGTGGGATTACACCCTCTAGTGGTGGGATTACACCCTCTAGTGGTGAGATTGCACCCTCTAGTGGTGGAATTACACCCTCTAGTGGTGGGATTGCACCCTCTAGTGGTGGAATTACACCCTCTAGTGGTGGGATTGCACCCTCTAAGGGTAGGATTCACCCTCTAGTGGTGAGATTCACCCTCTAGTGGTGAGATTGCACTCTCTTGTGTTGCAATTCACCCTCTAGTGGTGAGATTACACCCTCTAGTGGTGGGATTTACCCTCTAGTGGTGAGATTGCACCCTCTAGTGGTGAGATTCACCCTCTAGCGATGGGATTGCACCATCTAGTGATGGGATTGCATCCTCTAGTGGTGGGATTGCACCCTCTAGTGGTGGGATTGCACCCTCTAGTGGTGGGATTGCACTCTCTTGTGGTGCAATTCACCCTTTAGTGGTGCGATTCACCCTTTAGTGGTGTGATTCACCCTCTAGTGGTGTGATTCACCCTCTAGTGGTGAGATTCATCCTCTAGTGGTGGGATTACACCCTCTAGTGATGAGATTGCACCCTCTAGTGGTGGAATTACACCCTCTAGTGGTGAGATTGCACCCTCTAGTGGTGGGATTCACCCTCTAGTGGTGAGATTGCACCCTCTAGTGGTGGGATTCACCCTCTAGTGGTGAGATTGCACCCTCTAGTGGTGAGATTGCACCCTCTAGTGGTGGGATTGCACTCTCTTGTGGTGCAATTCACCCTCTAGTGACGAGATTCATCCTCTAGTGGTGGGATTACACCCTCTAGTGGCGAGATTACACCCTCTAGTGGTGAGATTACACCCTCTAGTGGCGAGATTGCACCCTCTAGCGGTGGGATTGCACCATCTAGTGATGGGATTGCACCCTCTAGTGGTGGGATTCACCCTCTAGTGGTGGGATTGTACCCTCTAGTGGTGAGATTGCACCCTCTAGTGGTGAGATTCCCCCTCTAGTGGTGAGATTCACCCTCTAGCGGTGGGATTGCACCATCTAGTGATGGGATTGCACCCTCTAGTGGTGGGATTCACCCTCTAGTGGTGGGATTGCACCCTCTAGTGGTGGGATTACACCCACTAGTGGTGAGATTGCACCCTCTTGTGGTGCAATTCACCCTCTAGTGGTGGGATTGCACCATCTAGTGGTGAGATTCACCCCTAGTGGTGAGATTGCACCCTCTTGTGGTGCAATTCACCCTCTAGTGGTGGGATTGCACCATCTAGTGGTGAGATTCACCCCTAGTGGTGAGATTGCACCCTCTTGTGGTGCAATTCACCCTCTAGTGGTGGGATTGCACCCTCTAGTGGTGGGATTACACCCACTAGTGGTGAGATTGCACCCTCTTGTGGTGCAATTCACCCTCTAGTGGTGGGATTGCACCATCTAGTGGTGAGATTCACCCCTAGTGGTGAGATTGCACCCTCTTGTGGTGCAATTCACCCTCTAGTGGTGGGATTACACCCTCTAGTGGCGAGATTACACCCTCTAGTGGTGGGATTCACCCTCTAGTGGTGGGATTGCACCTTCTAGTGGTGGGATTGCACCCTCTAGTGGTGGGATTACACCCTCTAGTGGTGAGATTGCACTCTCTTGTGGTGCAATTCACCCTCTAGTGGTGAGATTGCACCATCTAGTGGCGAGATTCACCCTCTAGTGGTGAGATTGCACCCTCTAGTGGTGGGATTCACCCTCTAGTGGTGAGATTGCACCCTCTAGTGGTGGGATTGCACTCTCTTGTGGTGAAATTCACCCTCTAGTGGTGAGATTGCACCCTCTAGTGGCGAGATTACACCCTCTAGTGGTGAGATTACACCCTCTAGTGGTGAGATTACACCCTCTAGTGGCGAGATTCATCCTCTAGTGTTGAGATTACACCCTCTAGTGGCAAGATTACACCCTCTAGTGGTGAGATTCACCCTCTAGTGGTGAGATTGCACCCTCTAGTGGTGAGATTGCACCCTCTAGTGGTGAGATTGCACCCTCTAGTGGTGAGATTGCACCCTCTAGTGGTGAGATTCACCCTCTAGCGGTGGGATTGCACCATCTAGTGATGGGATTGCACCCTTTAGTGGTGGGATTGCACCCTCTAGTGGTGCAATTCACCCTTTAGTGGTGCGATTCACCCTCTAGTGGTGAGATTCATCCTCTAGCGCTGGGATTGCACCATCTAGTGATGGGATTGCACCCTCTAGTGATGGGATTGCACCCTCTAGTGGTGGGATTGCACCCTCTAGTGGTGAGATTGCACCCTCTAGTGGTGAGATTGCACCCTCTAGTGGTGAGATTCACCCTCTAGCGGTGGGATTGCACCATCTAGTGATGGGATTGCACCCTTTAGTGGTGGGATTGCACCCTCTAGTGGTGCAATTCACCCTTTAGTGGTGCGATTCACCCTCTAGTGGTGAGATTCATCCTCTAGCGCTGGGATTGCACCATCTAGTGATGGGATTGCACCCTCTAGTGGTAGGATTGCACCATCTAGTGATGGGATTGCACCCTCTAGTGGTGAGATTGCACCCTCTAGTGGTGGGATTACACCCTCTAGCGGTGGGATTGCACCATCTAGTGGTGGGATTGCACCCTCTAGTGGTGAGCATGACACCCTCCAGTGGTGATGATGATACTTACTGTCGATCATTTTTTATAATCTCCTGTTCAGCCATTTCCACAAGTAAATCTAGATTATGCTGTAATTCTGGCATGGTAAAAGCAGTCTGGTCAATCGTGATGGGTGAGCTAGTACCAGAATCTTCATCTGGTCGGCTATGTTTCTGGCTAATTTGATCATACCCCGAGAGGACTCGTTTTTCTTTTCCTGTCATATCAATCACCTTCACCTTTGTCAATGCCGTGTCAGCCAACCGTGACTTTTTTGTTGATGTTTTGGCTTTTTCTTTGACATCATCTATTGTCTTATATGAATATTTTGGCTTCTGTTTGGCCTAGAAAATTAGTATTATAAATATAATTTTTATGGTCATTTACTGATATTAAATAAAAACAAAAAGTAATACATAATTGTTGATGCATTAGTCATCAATTTTTTTTGCACAGTACAAAATATTTCTAGGGGGAAAATTTTGTCTGAAAACATAGTTGAACTCTGGTGACCTTGCTCTTTGTTATATAATATTATTCCCTTTATCATAGTTTGTTTCAATATAAATATGCATTGTCATAATTAATTTTGTATACAAACAAGTTTTAGAATTGAAACAGCAGTGGGAAAGCAGTCTACCGAATGTCCTCGATTGATGTAAATATCTTACAAAAACATTGGTGCCTGATTTGTTTAATTATTTTAAGGGACATAATTTCCAGCTTTATTCAAAGTAATTCAGATATTTTAGTATAAAAACAAATGCCTCATCTCAGAAAAAAAGTGCTGCATTTAGACGTGAATAGATTCATAAAACATGCAAGATAACAGAAAATCTTAGCTGGCTTTTGCCCAAGTACAAATTAATGATTCACTGAGACAAATATGAACTACCTTATTATAATCATTGTGTGACTACTGTCTTATTTGAAAAGTAAAAAAAAAACTGTTGCAAGCTTTGCTTTGTATGCAAATCAACTCAAATAGTTAGTTGATGTCCAGTGGTGAGGATCTACATCTTCAAACACTGCAATCTTTGTTTTTGAAGTGTGTTTTTAAATTAATATTAAAAAAGTTCTATCATTCTGTTCTAATAGCTGAAACATACTTTTGAGTACAATTTTCTTTTCAAAATGTGGATGCAACGTTTTGCTTTTTATTTATTTTTTATGTATTGTTTGTTTTGATAACTTTGGACTAAACAGATTTTCTATTGACTTCAGATCTTGATCAAAAGTTTGGCACCCAAGTCATAGGAGTGCTTATATTGATTTTCTGACATCTTGTTTTCTGTCACGATTTTATTGGTTATTGCAAATGTGTATCAGAATGTGCAACTCTTCCATGAGTTGGTTTTGAAACCCAGTCTAGTATTCCCATGGAATTTGGGAGATACATTACCAATGATATTATTACAAGATAAATGATTTACTTCATTGAACACATACAACAATGCATATTCCCACTGAGATCAGGGAGCTTTGAATGTGTATCACCAGTGATCAGTCAAGTAGCAGTCAAAATATTTTATCAGATTTTCTAAATTTTTGCATGATATTTTCTGTCATTCATACTAAGGGAAGACTTTATACTGATGAATAGGTGACCAAGTTTGATTAAGTTTGGAATAGAATTAGTAAAGTTATTGTGCACACAATAACAATTATTAACGACGACGAGGTAATACGGGCAAGGTAACAAGCAAAAATATGAAATAATTGTGTTTGTCAGAATTTCCCAATAATTCTGGACAACACATAGGCACCAATTTTATAATTATATGTGATATTTTCACCATGTACCTAAGCTTAGAGTTATGATGAAAGACATCATTGAATGGTTCACACACTCAAAGTTAACCACTATGACAAATAATTATTCTCCTTACCTCAGGTCCTTTCTTCCACTGTGATAACTGTCGGCGGAAATCTTCATCTTCTTCATCCTCTGAGTCAACTTGAGGCGGTTTATTCGGCCGTTCTGGGCCATGATAACTAATGGCACCCTTGCCTTTTCTTTTATGTGCTTCAACAGGAATAACGATACCCTGTCCAGTTTTACCCAAACCTTTACCAGGTTGATAACCCATCTAGAATGAAAACAAGACACATTACATGCAAAACCACGTCAGAGATGACTTTTTTATTCTAATAATAAAATTCATGAAATCCACGAGGACTGAGTTTGGTGTGCATTCTAGTATTAAATTGTGTATATTGATATCTCATAAAAAATTCATTATAGCATCATGAATATTCCTAACCTAATTACCGGGGGTATGACATTATAATGAGGTCTCATGAACATTCATAACCTGCTGATAAAATGATAATTTCACATAAACAATCATGATCTCATTAAGACATACTAATGGTCATGAGGTCTTAAATCATAAACTGTGATGACAAGAAACCTACATTACCTGTAATAAGAGTTTCTGTCCAATACCCTTTGTGTGTTTTTCCCAGGTACCGATAGATTTACCAATACTTGTTGATGATGGTGCCTGCTTACGAAAGCTTGATGTTCCTTTTGACTTGTATAATTTCTTCCGACTTCCAGTAAAGTCCAGAAGAGGATCCATTTCCTCATTATTTTCCTCCTCTTCCTCCTCCATCTCTTTTTTCATCTCTTCACTGGTTTGTTTAAATCCTCCACTCACAAAGTCCAGTCCTTGAGAGAGGTCTTGTCGTTTCCCACCTCCCAGACCTGTTCTGCCTCCTCCATCCTCATCACTGTCTTCTCTTGCTGCCCATATACCTGGAATGTTTAAATAGCTATCAGAATGTTTAAATAGCTTTTAGAATGTTTAAATAGCTTTCAAGATGTTTAAACAGCTTTCAGAATGCTTAAATAGTTTTCAGAATGCTTAAATAGCTTTCAGAATGTTTAAATAGCTTTCAGAATGTTTAAATAGCTTTCAGAATGTTTAAATAGCTTTTAGAATGCTTAAATAGCTTTCAGAATGCTTAAATAGCTTTCAGAATGTTTAAATAGCTTTCAAGATGTTTAAACCGCTTTCAGAATGCTTAAATAGTTTTCAGAATGCTTAAATAGCTTTTAGAATGCTTAAATAGCTTTCAGAATGTTTAAATAGCTTTCAGAATGTTTAAATAGCTTTTAGAATGCTTAAATAGCTTTCAGAATGCTTAAATAGCTTTCAGAATGCTTAAATAGCTTTCAGAATGTTTAAATAGTTTTCAATGTTTAAATAGCTTCCAGAATGCTTAAATAGCTTTTAGAATGCTTAAATAGCTTTCAGAATGCTTAAATAGCTTTCAGAATGTTTAAATAGTTTTCAATATGCTTAAATAGCTTTCAGAATGTTTAAATAGCTTTCAGAATGCTTAAATAGCTTTCAGAATGTTTAAATAGTTTTCAATATGCTCAAATAGCTTTCAGAATGTTTAAATAGCTTTCAGAATGCTTAAATAGCTTTCAGAATGTTTAAATAGTTTTCAATATGCTTAAATAGCTTTCAGAATGTTTAAATAGCTTTCAGATATTAAATAGCTTTCAGAATGCTTGATAGTTTCAGATGCTTAATAGCTTTCAGATGCTTAATAGCTT